AACAGCTGAATGGGGAACCTGGACCCACCAGTGTGGTATCAAAGGAGGCGTGCTAAACAGAATCTTTAAATAAGATCCAGTCTTTCAACATAAATCCCAAATTTCCAGATGCAATTAAAATCACTGGTAATACCAAGAACTAGGAAAATCTCAATTTCATTGAGAAAAAACCATTAACAGATGCCAACATTGAGACGATAAAGGTGTTGAAATGGTCTGACAAGAATTTTAAAACGACAGGTATCATAAAAATGCTTTAATGAGCAACTGCAGCATGCTTGAAACAAAAGAACAGAAAGACTCAGCAAAGAAATAGAAAGTATTAAGAAGAATCATATGCTTTGGTTGAGCCTTAAAAGAATCACTCACATTTCTGGAATAATCACCCTCACTTTGCTCCTGGGACAAGGCTCCTTCTTCTCTCTGGAACACCCATATCTCTCCTTTTCTCCTCTTTAACTCCTGCTTGACCAAAGGATCAGTCCAGACGTCACTTCTCCTGGGAAGCCTTTCATGATCTTCCATGGCTTCCATGCCCCTCCCATTCAGAGCTTCCTATACCATAGTGCTTACACTCAATGCATATTGTTCTGTCATCTGTCCCTCCCACATCCACCCAATGTAAAGACTTGACAGAAGGGACTGTGTCTTATCCCAGGTGCCTGGCACAGTACCTGGCTTATAATAAGCACTCAAGAAATATTTTTTGAATAAATGAATAAATTGATGAATAAATGGAAACTCTTCTGTGGGTTCTCTTCTATTGGATAAAATTAAACTCTGTGGTTTAGCTTTAAACATCCTACACAAACTGTGACACCCGGATCTTTCTGGTGCTCAGCTTCCCTTAACACATTCTACTTCTCTGACATACCAGAAAACACGTTGTCCTTTGACAGTACCTTATCTTTCCCCATCACTACATATTGTATGTACTCTTCTATCAGTCTCAAATGTCCTTACTCATTACTGCCATCAAAATCATATTCATTTTTACAGGACCCACTCAAGAAACCACCTGTTCATGACCCAGTCTCAGATCTTCCCAGCTGGAAAGAGTCCTGTCCACGTCTAGATAACAGCACCTCATCTAGTCTTTCCTCATGTTATTTCTCACTTTCTGCTGTGCATTTTTTTCTTGCTTGTTTGTTTAAATGTATGTTATATTAACCCCAAGATTTAAACATTTGGGGTTCAAATAAACTCACATCCTATTCATGTTTGCCTCTGCCACTGTGCACCCAGCACAGTCCCTTGTTATTCTCTGAGTTTCAGTTTCTTTTTCTGAGATAATAGAACCTACTTCACAGGGTTTCTGTGAATATTAAGTAAAATATGCTATTTAAATATTGGCACCATGTCTCAATTTTCATACAGTAAGCACTCAAAAATGTTAACTACTATCATTGTTAGTGTGATTATTATTTGAAGAAATAAATGGACTGAGCAAGTCCTGTTACCTCTACCTTCACAACACTCTGAATTCTGCTTGATCTCATCACTGCCAATGTGATTACCTGCTTCCAGCCATGATCATTCTTCTTGCTATGGTCTCTTTTACTTTCTTATCCCTCAACCTCTATTCTCTACTCAGCAGCCAGCATGATCCTTTTAAAACATAAAGCAGATCATATGACTCTTCTGCTCAAAACCCTCCAGTGGCTTCCCAATCTACAACTAAAAGGCCCCATATAGTCTGACCTCCTGTGTCTCCCCACCCCCCCACTCACTGACACAACCTCATGGCCATCTTGCCCCCTGTCATATGAGGCTTTCTGCACTTGGCGGCTTTTCATCATAGGGCTTTGCACTTGTCCTTTCCCCAGTGTAGGATAATCTCTCCCAGCTTGGCATACAACCTGCTTCTCCACTTCATTCAAGCTAACCTGTGCTCTCCACTGTTATTTTTCTGAAAGTAACCACCATATGTAAAATACCAACCATTATTCTCAATATATTTTATATTTTTCATAGCTCTCAATATGACCTGAAAACACACGTATATACTTACTGAGATGACATTGCTTACTGTCTTCTTCTGCTAGAATTATAAGCTTCATGAGTGTTTGCTCTATCCCCAGTCTCAAGAACAGTGTCTGGCACATAATAGATGTTCTGGCACATGTGGCACTGTATCTGGCACATCATAAGACTTGATGAATGATTGAATGGTGGCTGGGAGCCTCTTCGATGGGGGCTTTAGGAAGAGAAGCAGCATTTTGTTGCACAAAATCGATGACCTATTACTGGTTTTGTGTGAAGAGGAAGTGTGGGATTAATCTACCTAGAGGGGATGAGATGGAAGTGATCTATTTATCTGGATTTAGATGGTATTCCCATTTATCCATTCAGATGAAAATCTGGCTGAAGATAATTCCAGGTGAATTATCTCCATAGTGAACAGTGTAATACCCTACAGCTAATTTTCCTGGGCTCACTGTGGACACCAAGGAAGCCGAATCTCATGGCCTCCTGTGATCTCTTTGTTCCGGGGCTCCTCCAGGACCTGTTTGGCCGGCCAGGCCTACGATAGCTTATGTTGATGAAATGCTCCAGAAGTGAAGTCCGAAACCTATCTTCACACTGCCACACTGGCTTCATGACATCCAACTGCAGGAACCCGGAGGACTCGGCAGAAGAGTAGGATATGATAGAAGGGAAAACTACAGATTGAGGACTTCTGAATTCTGAGTGATTGGGCAAGCCACCTCCCTTCTCTGAGCCTTAGTTTGTCTTTATACCATAAGGGAGTTTAATTAAATGTATCTTTAAAGTCCTCTTCAACAGTGACCTTCTATAGTTATATGAGCTTTGTGTACAAGAGAAATTGGACTAGAGGATGGGGCGGCCAGGGAGAGAAGCCCAACATGGAGGCAATTGAGCTGAGGCTGAGCAGTAGGACCTCAATACGGCCAGCAGGTGGCGCCATTGCTGTATCAGGATGCTCAGGCCCAGGGTGGGAAAGTTGGATTTTTCCAGAAGGCAGGCAAATTCTTCAGGGCAAGCTGTCCAGCCGTCAGAAGGAACCAGTTGCTGCACCCCACCCCACAATACACACAAACCCCTTCCTCCAAAAGCCTACATTCACATTCCAACAAACAGGGTGAAATGCATTGCAGGTTGCTAGGCCTGAGGCTGGAGGTGGTTGCAAGTTGCCTTTTCCTCTCCTCCCATGTTTCCTACGAATCTGAACCCTGAACACACCCCTCCTACCTGATGACCTAGCTGGGACAGATCCTCACTGGATCACTCTCAAGGCAAGACGTGCAACTAGATGCAGGCCAGTTGGACTTCCCTACTGATTACCATCGTCCTTTGCTCCAATCCTCAAGGTAGCCATCGCCTTCAAGGGAAGACTCTAAACCTCATCATTTCACCTCCCCTGAGTCCTGAAGAGGAACCTATGGTTAGAGAAGTTGGAGAAAAGCAAGAAGGAGATGGGGGTGGAGGAGTGCTGAAGGGAAAGGTCTGGCTTTGTGGAGATAAGAATGGAGGAATCAACCTTTGTTTGGTCCCAACTGCCTCTGCCACTGTTGACACACTTGGGAGTGTTTCCTGGAGCTCCTCAGCACTCCCTCCCCAACTTCCCCCTGGTAGGGATTGGGCGGGGGTTGTTCTGGAAGCTGGGGGGAGGTACATGCTTACAGATTTTTTTTTTTTTTTTTTTTTTTTAAGGCTGCTGTCTTAATATTGAGGGCAGAAACCAGCTCCCTCCCTGAGTTGACTGTCAGGTCTCTAGAACCACAATCCCCACATAGACCTTCACTGTGTCTGCTGTGACCTGGGAAGCCGAGGAGCGGGGGTGGCCTGATAATAGAGGATGCACAGGACATTGCCCCTTCCCTTTGTTTTGCATATTTTGCAGCAGTGATCAGCATGTTCCTCTTCTCAGAATGGTGTTCATGAAGGGTATAGCTCCTAAGACCCTAGCATACCACCCTCCATTTGGAAGCTCCCTGGTACATTTGGGTCTGCCTTTCTACCACTGGAAATGGGTGTTTCCTCTTCCCATGGAGGAGAATAGTTGGCAGATTTGGCTAAAGGTCCTTAGTATCCTGGCTGGTGCCTGTGTCTGCTGAGGTGCTCCACCCTTTTCCCTGGCTAGTCCTCCCCACCACATCACTGCATAGTCTAGCTAGGTCTAGTGGAGGGTGCTGCTCTTGCATTCAGACACACCCAGCTAAGACAGAGTCACATAACAGATGTGTTTCAGAATCACTTTAATTGCAGTATTTAAACACATCACTTTGTATTCAGAAAAAATATCTACCCAATCCTCTCTTCTCTGGAAAGTCCTATTTCCAACCGTCATTGAAATCAGGATCCCTGCTCAACCCCTCTGGAAAGAAATTAACAGCAAACAAGGACCTGGGTCACCCACAGAAGAGGCAGCTGGTGATAAGGGTTAGGAGCTGATCTGGGTTTCTGACCACATGGAGGTGCAGAGCAATGAAGGGGCTCAGGGTGAGGGAAGCAGAAGAGCAGGATGATATGATGGAAGGGAAAACTACGAATTCAGGACTTCCGAATTCCGGGTGATTGGGCAGACTGAGACAGAAAAGCATCTGCTGGGGGACTGAGGCCTCACCTCAACCCAGGAGTCGGCAGGAGGGAGGAGGAAGTCATGGAGATCAGAGGATAAGGCCAGGACCCAGCCTCAGAGGAAGAGGATTGTTCAGAAAAGTACAGGTGAGAGGCTCAGCTCCAAGACCTGGTCCCATGATCCTGTCTACTTTGATCCAGAGGGAGAAAAAGGAGCCCAAAAAGAGTTTCTGTGTGGCCCTAGAGAGACTAGAACTGAGCTGTTTGTCCTAAAACTTGGGAGATCCGTTCTAGGCTCCAGCCAGAAAGCTGTGCAGGCCTCTGCAAATGGTGGAGGGGGCACATGGAGCTCAGTGGAACTTAGAGAACAAGGGAGGAGCTGGTGACCAAGTCCACAGTGTCTTGGAGAAGAGATAAGGGAAGTAGTTCAAGACGTTTTTCTGGCTATATCATTACACGAGAGCAGGTGCAAAGGGTTACTTTGGTTTCCTCAAAGTAAAGAAAGAAAATATAGGGAAGAAACAGTAAAAATCAAAGCTTCCTGGGAGAAAATTGTAGCCTAGAAAAGCCCATCTTTCCCCTAGGGGTTCCTGTAATGAGGCAGAAAGGAGGGGGGAATGGGAAGGGGGTCCTGTGTGAGTGCTGCAAGGCCATCAATCATTCCTGGGAGCTTCTCCAGACCTTGGCTTTCCCCCATCACACGTTTACCCAAAGAAGACCAGAGTCTGGCTCCCGGGAGCCGAATGTGTAAAGGACAGGAGTTTACCTGCCCCTCTTCAAGGTGTAGGGCCCCAAGAGCAGCCTCTGAGGTGTGTGCAGTGGGGAAGGGTTGGGCGTAAGAGATGTCACCTCCAGCATGGAGGCAGCATGTGGTCAGATGCAGAGAGGGGTGCTCTCTTGGACACTGCCCAGCCTTGCCCCACCTAGCCGAGTCACAATTCGGTATCAGCCACCACGTGTTGTCTTGCTGAATGGCCGTTTCTGGAGGTGGCCTGGCCGGTCCCGTTTTCCTGAGCCCCTCGGTTCACACTGGCCTTTCCCTGAGCCTCAGGGGAGGTCCCAGGTCCTGAGCTATAGCCCTGGCCTCCACCGTTCTCCGTGTAATAAGGGTCTTCGCCCTAGACAGTGTATAAATAAAGTAGCATTATCTGGTAAGCAGGACTGTGAGACACTGGATGGGGGAGGGGCCCAAACAGGAAGTGGGGGCAGGGGCGGGAGGTGGGGGGAGGTGAGAGGGAGAATGGGAGGGAGGGTGCAGCTGCATGTGCAGACTCCTTTCTTCCTGAAGAGTGGTCAGGGTTCCAGCTCCTAGAGGAGAAAGGACATAGGAGAGGCACCCCACCATGCCACCGCAGCTTGGCAGCCAGCTCCCGCAGGAAAACGGGCAGTCCCAAGAAGGGTGGGATGACCTCCCCAGGGTAGGGGACAGGCCAGAGGCCAAGATTCAGACCTCAGCCTTGTCCTCCCTCATCCAGAATGGCAAAAGGAGATTCTCCTTCCATATGCCTCCTTTTGAACAAAGGGGCACCCACTGGGCATTTAACATGGTTACAAATACAGTGTGGCTGATTTAACAGGCTGTTCTGGTGGCACCAAGCTGAGCTATCCCAGAAAACATAATGAATAGATGACATGAATCATCTGCTACCACACTGAGTAGGTGGGCTGGCACCATTACTGTCCCCTCCCCAGTTTGCTACATAATATTTTGAATCTTCCACCAATTACTGTGTGTGCACACGTGCATGTCTTTATGTAAGCTCACAGGAGGACTTTTTCTGGTACTTCTCCTCCTGCTCCATGACATCCACTGAACTCCCCGGAAACTCACTATCTTTCCCATTTCCTTTGCCCTGGCCCCCAGAACTGACCAGCCTTTCTCCTGTGGGGCTCCAGCTGCGGCGATTCATCAGGAAATAGCCAGTGATGCCCAAGACAGCCAGCAGGGTTCCCGAGGTGACCAGCGCAATCAGGGTCTTTCGGGAATAGCTCTGGTGGCTTGCAACATCTTGCTCAGTGAAACCTAGGATCCCCAGCTTGAAAAGAAGACACATAAGACACAGTCTGTCACTTGCCAAAAGTGGAGCCCAGCCTACTCCAGCCCCCTGTGTGTAACTCAACAGTGAACAGATGCTTGAGGGCATTGACCTCAGGAATTTTTGAAATGGGATTTGAGACTGACATCTCTTAATTCAGTCACACCCCACCATTTTTGGTTCGAGACTAGAAAGGAGAAGACTCAGAGAAGGAGGGTAGGTAGAACTGGGGAAGGTAATGGCTTCCCCTCTTACTCCAGGGAGCCCCCCTGCCCCGGCATTCCCTCTGAGACCCATATCTCAGAGAACTTACCTTTCTCAGGTCAGACTGGTGCTTTTTCATAAGTTGGAGTTTGCTGGAAATTTCTAGAATTAGAAACAGGGGTTTCTAAATCTAGAAGAGAAACCAGCTTATCCTGCTCCACCCTCCCATCCTGTTCTACAAGATGCTCTGATGGTCAGGGTAGTCCATTTCAGGGGGATCTCTCCCAAAGTCACCCAAGCCCTTCTCCCCAGCACCTGTGGTCTCTCTGGATCTGGGATGCCACATCTCCACCTAGGATTCTCTAATCTCAGCCCTACTCCCTCCCAGTTCCCCCAGACAGAGGTGCACCTTACCTGTTCTGTTGGCCAAGACCAGCAGTAGGCACTGAGGCCTCACCTCAGACTGGGCAAGGAGCAGGGAGCATATCTGGGCCCCAGCATCAGCATCAGCCTGCTCCTCCCCACACAGCACTCGGGCCAGGTCCTCTCCCCTGTCCTTCCTAAACTCCGCCTGGGAAGACAGAGAAACATGGAGAGCAAGAGATGAAATTACTGCTCTACCCTAAACTGCACCCAGAGTCTCAGGCAATAATTCCGATTACAGTCACACTCTTACCCCATCCACAAGAAGCATCCTTCTTTCTAAAATTCCAACAGAAAAAAAAATACTGCTAACTGTATATGTGCAACAACACAATAAGAAAAAAACCTGCATAATCTCCAAGGATGAAAATCCATATCTTCTAGTATCTAAGATGTCAGAAAACAAACTTAAAAAAATTGTCTAATTGAAGCATCACCCATGTACACATATGCAAATTAAACTCAAAGGAAATGACCAACAGAAAATATTAATAATACAATAATAACTAAGAGAAAATATTCTGTTTCAAGATTACAGCAGTCCCCAGTGATGGAAGAAAAGTCAAGGAAGGTGAGGAGTAGAGAATGAATCTATAATATACACTCAGTGGAAACCTCAGTGGCCTCCTCCCTCTTACTACCCAAAGGAGTCTCATGAAGCGCATTGCTTAAACTGAAATGGCATTTTTGTCTGGTCTTCCATCCCTGCTTTTCCATTGAAAGCATGGAACCCAGTTTTAATGAAGTTCATAGATTTTTCTCCAGGTTGCTGACTGGGCCATCAGACCCAGGAACTCGGACTCAGAAGAAAAACTCTGATAATTCTTCAACGGTGAGTCAGAATTTATTCCAGCAGCCTCCAATCAGTCACCTCCTCCCCTGAACAGGAAAGGAATCGAAACTAAGACTTTCTCTTCAGTCCGGATGGCGGATGGCAGATGGCAGAGAAGGAAATGCCTGAACAGTCCTGACAACTTTCCTGTTAGGGGAAAACTGCTGGGGTGTGTGACCATCATCAGAACTGGGTCTCTGTGGAGAAGAAAGCTTCCTGTTTGCGGGCAGGGCCGCTGCTTGCAACAAGGCCACAGGGTCCTCCCAGTTGGAATGGAGCCTGGGTATTTTCCCACTGCTGTGACCCAAGGCAGGAAAACCCAGGCTCCTTTGCTCCTACACAAAGCAAGGTCAAGATTGGCCTCAGGACCCAGCTGGAATTTGAAGCAGCTGAGGGAAAATAACTGGGCTTGGATAAAGCCAGGAGAGTGTGGTTAGCCAAACCCCAGGTCACAGAGACACGAGCCCAAACTGGAGCCTCAAAAAACCCCCAGGAAACAAGACTACAGAGAAATGAGTTCTCAGGCCACTGCTGCTTCATTCCTCAGGAAAAGGAGCAATTCTGCAGGTCTCCCAGCAAGTCCTTGATAGACACTCTGCCTCTGGAAAAATCTGTTTTTCTGAACAGCATTTGAACTAAGTAGTCTGAATGCCACACTGAACCAATCAACAGTCTCCACCTCTCTAAACCCAGTTCTCTCAGGGGAGCCTTACATGGCTTCCCCTTGAGCACACCCGCTCCCCAGCACCAAGAGTCTGGATGAGGAGGAGGGGGGTTCTTGCCTGGATGACTCTGGCCTTCTGAAGTGTCTCCAGTTGAAATAGATCTGCTTCCCAAGAGAGGCAGAGGGACAGGGCTCCTGCAGGTCATAAACTAGCCAAACCAAATGGCACCTTCCTACGCCTGCTGAGTGCAAGAAGCCACACCTTGACAATTTATCAAGCCCTGAATATAGGATGCCGTGTGAAAACCTCTGTGCATGTGTCATGTATGTGTGTATTGTATTTATGTGTCATGTGTAGGGGGGTGGGGATTGGGAGGTATCTATGAATTCCACCCGGTGAAAGTTTTCAGTTTGCATGTATGGCAATTAAAATAACAGATGCCAGCCAGGCGTGGTGACTCATGCCTGCCATCCTAGCACTTTGGGAGGCTGAGATGAGAGGATCACTTCAGCCCAGGAATTCGAGACCAGCCTGGGCAACACAGGGAAACCCTATCTCTATAAAAAATTTAGAAATTAAACCAGGGGTCGTGGCATGCATTTACAATACCAGCCACTTGGTGGGCTGAGGTGGGAGGGTCTCTCCACTCTGAGAGGTTGAGTCCACTGTACTCCAGCCTAGGTGACGGAGACCCGGGCTCAAAAATAAAGAAATAAAAAATAAAATAACAGATGCCTACGATATCTAGGCACAGTTCTGAGTGCTTTCCATATATTAACTCATTTAGGCCTCACATGACCTACAAGATTGGGAGAGCTATTCTACTAATTTTGTAGGTGAAAAAATGGAGGTGCGAAGAGACTTTAGAGGTCAGAGCTACTACCATGGTAAGCACCATAAGAAAGGTACAACCAAAGTGCTATGGACATACAAAGGAGGGTGAGGACACGTCTGGTTAAGGTTAGCAGACACATCTCACTATAGGCCTTGAAGAATGGCTGAAGGGTGAGCAGAGGAAGCCAGTGGGGAAGAGCATTTGGAATCGAGGCACCACCTCCAGGAAGCCCAAGATGGGGAGAGCATGCATTGTTCCACAACCTTCATTTCAAGGAGAATGAAGAACACTTCCTTCTCCCTGGTATTCACTATCCTTCAAGACTCAACTCAGTTTCTACCTCCTCAATGAAGCTCGTCCTATCTTCAACCAGACTGGGCATCAATCCTTGCTCTGCTCTTTACTGGATTCCTTGCAAGTCATGCAACTAGTCTGACTGTCATGTTCCTCAGCTATACACTGGGTTGTTGGGGTGACTAAAGAGATATTGTATGAAAGTGTCCAGTCAGGTGCGGTGGCTCATGCCTGTAATCCCAGCACTTTGGGAGGCCGAGATGGACAAATCAGATGAGGCCAGGGGTTTGAGACCACCCTGGCCAACATGGTGAAACTTTGTCTCTTCTATAAAATGCAAAAATTAGCTGGGCATGGTGATGGGCATCTGTAATCCCAGCTACTCGGGAGGCTGAAGCACAAGAATAGCTTAAATCCAGGAGACAGAGGTTGCAGTGAACTGAGATCACAACACTACACTCTGCACTCCAGCCTGGGCAACAGAGCAAGACTCTGTCTAAAAAAAAAAAAAAGTGTCCAATGTGGTGTTGAGAATCTAGTGGGCACTAGATAAATGGCAGCTGCTACTATCATTATTAATAATAGTTATACCTTATATACCATATCATCTAGAGTCTACATATTGATCACATTCGGTGCATTGTTATCATCATTTTTCTCTGACTAGACTGTAAGACTCCTAAGTGTGTGTGTTGGGGGGAGTGTACATTATAGCATTTACAACTCAGACTGCACAAACCATAGCAGCAAACAAAAGAACTCAGGGAATTGTTGTTCAACTTAACATCCCAACCAGTTGGCTTCGACACAGGGTCCCTCCACCCCTTGCACAGTTTCTTGGACTAGATTCAAAGGAATAATAGCGGCCAGCCTCCCACTCTGGAATCCAACCGCATCAGTGAATTGTGTTTGAGCCCCAAGAGGAGCAGGTGGATCCTGAACAAAGCACAATGCTTCTCCGGACGCTTGGAATAAACATCCTCCCCCAAGAGAGGCTGTGGGCAAACATCACGGGAGAGTGGGCAGGAGGAAGACACAGCCTCACCATTTTGTTCATGAGAATCAGATTTACAAGCTCCTAACTACATCAGCTCACACATGTTTCTTTGCAAACATAATAAACCCATCTAACCTCTCTAGAGTAGCATTCTCAAACTTTGCAAAGACTCTTAACGTCAAGCATTGGGATGGGGATGGGGGTGGGGGAAGGATAGGTATTTTTTTAATGACCTTTAAGATATTTTCCAATGCTGAGATTCTAGGATCAATCATCTCCCCTAACCCCTTTTAAAATCATTTTATCTATTTTGGTGTGAGTTTGACAATGCAAGTGAAAACTCTATTTTCATATAGGAACTGGAATAATGAGGGACCTGTTTCAAGTCACTTAACTAGTGGAGGCAGTTAACCAAGGATAAGAAGTGAGATTGCTTCCAGATCGCAGGCTTTTTGCAGTAGACATACCATATTCATAAATCTTTCATCTGTAACTTATGTTTTCCACATGGAAACTGACCTTTAGTGGAGGCTGGAGGCAGCCTGCCTCAGATGAAGTCAATGTGAATACGAGTAAAGTGAGGTAGCTGAGTAATTACAAACTCTGCAAATAAACAGATATGGTACTAAAGATAGGTATTTCTAAAGAACAAATTGGTGGACAAAGGACTTGACTAGACCTTTCCCCAAAGAAGATATACAAATGACCAATAAACACATGAAAGAGGCGCGACATCACTAATCATCGGGGAAATGTAAATCAAAACTGCCATGAGATGCCACCTCATACCCATTAGCACGGCTGCTATTTTAAAACCCAGAAAATAACATGTGTTGATGAGGATGAGAAGAAATTGGAACCCTTGTACGCTACTGGTGGGAATGTAAAATGGTCTGGTGGTTCCTCAAAAATTCAAAAATAGAATTCCCATGTGGTCCAGCCATTTCACTTTTGGATATATCCCCAAAAGGACTCAAATCAGGGTGTCAAGGAGATATTTGTACACTTATGTTAAAAACAGTATTATTCACATTAGCCTAAAGGGGAAAAAGCCCAAGTGTCCATCAACGGATGAATGGAGAAACAAAACGAGGTTTATGCATACCATGGAATATTATTCAGCCTGAAAAAGGAAGGAAATTCTGACAGGTGCTACAACATGGTTGGACCTTAAAGACATTATGCTGAGTGAAATCGGCCAGTCACACAGCAAGACAAACACTATAATTCTACTCATATGAGGTACCTAGAGTAGCCAAATTCATAGGAACAGAAAGTTGCCAGGGTCTGGGGAGAGCAGGGAGTTTTTTCATGGGTATATAGTGTCAGTTTTGGAACATGCAGAGAGTTCTAGAGATTGGTTGTACAATAATGTGAACGTGCTTACTACTACTCAATGGTACCCTTAAAAGTGGTTAAAGTCATGACTTATGTTACGTATATTTTACCACAATTAAAAATATTTTGGTGGATTCCTCTGGACAAATGGGTGTAGCATAAAAGTATCAAGTAATCTTACATTTTGGAAACTATTTGGGGAACCACAACCACAAAAACTAAATTAAGCTGACACTGCTGCCAAAAGAATGAAAGTTAGACTTAGGAAGACACACACTGCTAATGAGGGTGCTGAGATATGGTAACAGGTGTTTGAGATGAGAGTGGTATCACCTTCCCTTCCCCTGGCTGCCTAGAGGTGACGGCTGGGGGGCAAAAAAAGAGTGAATGGGATAGACATGTCTACAGAATGCACATACAGAAGACACACCTACAGAATTCACATAGGGTGAGCTAACATATTGGCACTCACTATGTATCAGTGCAGAACGAGTGTCTGGATAGCTAGACTCATGCACACATATTCCTGTTATGGGCATATATCAGATGCAGGAGAGTACCAACATACGTCAAGGATGTGATGCTCGGGGAAACCAAATCCTTCCTGCTCTTCACGAGAATATTACGTAGGGCCTGAGGCTCCCAACGTTAGAACCAATACCTTAAGGCCCTCTGACACTGAAAGTACAAATTCAACCTAAGGAAAATTAGGAGGCCCTGCAGCACTCGCAGCTTTTGAAACAGACTGTTTATCAGACAAACAGGGAGTAGGGCCAAAGGAAAGGGCATCTCGGACAAACATTTTGGAACAGGATAGTTGGCTGAGGATAAATTACCTTGGAGAGCAGGAGAAGGCATTGCCACATGGGGGCTGAGGATGAGGAGCCCTCAGGAAGAAAGGGGATCAACACTGGTGGAAAGACCAGGGAAACAAAAGCACTCATATGAGCTGCCACTGAGTTGCTTCATGAAGGGGCAGTGTGGATGGAAGTCTTCTTTAGCATAGGAACTGGAGGGGAGCTGCTCTCTTTTCACATCACCACTCACAGATCCTACCTGAATCTTAGAGGAACATGCAGAGACCTTCTCAGCCGTGGCACGAAGTAGGCCAGACAGCAAAGACCACAGCAGAGTTAAGAGGAATTACTTCTAAAAGAGCAGTAAGTTTCTGGCACGTTTCTCATACAGTGACCCAAGTTACATGTGAACTTTGAAGAGCAACAGAAAGGCAAAGGCTCTGCAGTTAACTCTAAATTCCAGGCACAAAGAATTAGCATTCTGGCACATACCTGTGTGATACACAGCAAAACGTATGCTCCACCAAGTCGATGGAGTTGCAGGGGGAAAGATCGTCATTTTCCTTGGCTACGATCAGCAAAGAACTTGACAATTTTTTTTCTAATGAGTTGAGTTGAAAATCAGCATCAGAAGCACACTGCATGTTACTTGTACATTGTATGTTTATGTTTAAGTTAACTATTTTGCAGACTGCATTTAGTTATTCCAGTATGCAAACTTATGTCATCACTATTTCGGTTGCTTTTAGATGTCCTAAGTTAAATTCTTTCAGGTATAATTTTTACAAATTTTTAAGTCTGAGAGACCCAACTGATGATTGTAGTAAAACTACCAAGTTCGAATGGAAAAAATAAGTAATTTATGCCCTCTACAGACTGCGATCTCTCCAATCTATGCATGCCAACACATCACATATGTGATTCCCTTAAATGGATCCCCAACTCATAAGAAAATGTTTTCTTCTGTAAGTAAATACCACTCTTTCCTTCACCTCGTCCTTCCTCCAGAGCCATGTTACTGTTAGGAAATTAGATTTACTGAAACAAAGCAAGGTCTGCCAGAATCATTTAAATTAACACAATGCCCTCTACATTCTTTCCAATGCAGTAAGACATGAAACTGAAACAAGAGGCATAACTACTAAACAGGAGGAGAAAAACAATATATTGTGGTAGATAACAACATAGCTCACCTTAAAATTGAAAGGAATCATCTAAAAAGTTCCTAGAATCAATAGGCAAATTCAAGAAACTGGCCAACCCAGAAATAATTATTCAAAATCCTATTAACTTTCTAACCTATCAGCGACAATCAATTTGAATATATAATGGGAGATCTATGTGACAAATAGGCCTATGAAATCCATCAAATCTAGAGAAAAAATAAAGCTAAAGAAACAAGATGCTGAGAGAGGCAAAAGAAAACCAGAAAAAATGAAGAAATTCCAGAGCAGTTACAATTCAAATTTTAAAGCATTTTGTTTTGCATTTTTTTTTCTAAAAGAAAAAAAAGTCACAGTTTTTACAGTGTAATAAAAAAAGATCTGCCTGACTGGATATTAAAAATACTATAGCAAAAACATACAATAATTTTGAAAATTTAAAATAGGCAAAAGTATAGACAAACTGAACAAATAAAATATGTCTGAAGAGTATGCCCTAAGACATATAAAAACTTAATATAAGCTAAAGGATACATCCCATGCAACAGAAGAGGGAGTCATTCAACAAATAATGTTAGGAAAAATGGTTACATGGAAAATGTAACATTACAGCAAAATAAATTCTATATGGATTAAAGAGTTACATGTAAATATTTAATAATAATAAATGAACTGACATTTTAGGTGACTAGTTTATATCTGGTGAGTGAGAGGGACTTTCTTAACCAAAAAGCAACTTAAATCTGACTCTCTCAGATTTAAAAGTACTATAGAGAAGGGGAAAATTTAAAAAGTACTATAGAGGAGTGGGAAAAAGTACTATAGAGGAGTGGGAAAAAGTACTATAGAGGAGTGGGAAAAAGTACTATAGAGGAGGGGAAAATAACAAAATTTATTAATAATTAAAACTGTTTTTGCCTCTTTTGCCCACCAGATGGGGCCTCTTACTTTCTAAACAGAAAGCTGGGTATTAAAAGCAGGTTGACCAAGCTAAACTCCCCAGACCCCTACTCAAATCCAGTGCAATCCAAGAAGGTTTAAGGGTGTTCAGAAGGGATTGAGGAAGGGGACAGGGGGCGGCAGGAAGAGGTTGGATGGGGAGTTGACTTACACAGCTGGAGGTCTCATTTTGCTCCAGGCAGATGCCTTGAGTCAATTTCACTTCTTTGATGCCTGAACATTTGATTTCTGTCTGTATTAAAACAAAAAACTGTAAGAAAAAAAAGTAAATAAGCCAGCATCTTTGCTCCTCATTTCTTTCCCAACTTTTTCCAGTTTGCTTTCCGCGGTGTGCTCTCTTAGGAAGTTTTAAGGAAAAGGAAATTTAAAATTTGTCAGGGGACTAGAGATTTCTAATAGTCACACTCTCTTCTATTTCACCTCTATCCTCATTATCCTCATCAGATGACAAAACTTTTGTTATTAGCCTGGGCTTACTGGCAAGTTGCTATTTGCAATCTTGGTAAACGTTGGCTTGGATGGTGCAGGAATGGGAGAGGGGAGGATATTTTCCCATTTGGGCTGTTTTCTCTCTAGTCAATCACACACTTGCAGGAAGGCCATACAGGCAAACAGGGATAATGGGGTGGACCAGCAGATGCTGGGGATACCTGGTTTTTCTCCTGGCCTCCAGGACTCTCCAGATTCCCATTTTGGCTCTTTTTTTTTTTTGAGATGGAGTCTCGCCCAGGCTAGAGTTCAGTGGCGTGATCTCGACTCACTGCAACCTCCACCTCCCTGGTTCAAGCAATTCTCCTGCCTCAGCCTTCTGAGTAGCTGGGACTACAGGTGCACAACCACACCCAGCTAATTTTTGTATTTTTTGGTAGAGACGGGGTTTCACCATGTTGCCCAGGCTGGTCTTGAACTGCTGACCTCAATGATCTGCCCACCTCAGCCTCCCAAAATGTTGGGATTACAGGCATGAGCCACCACACCTGGCCCTGGCTCCTTTAAAAACAGAAAGTAGACAGATCCGTCAAGCATATCTCCTGACTAAGGCCCTCATATTTTCTGTCCTGTATGCTGAAAGCTGTTGACAGCCATAGGCCCCAAGGCTGAGAAGGCCAGGCTGAGCTCACCATCCCTGGTCTGCCCAGTTCCTGCCATTGCCAATGACCCCCTTTACTGCCTCTCTGTGCCTGGCACAGCCACCAAATCCTCTCATGGAGAGGAAATGTTATTTGTCCTAACCATTTTGGGAGAAGCAGCCCCAGCAAATGAGCAATAGTTTCCAAATATTCCCAGAGGGAAATGGTGCCCTGGTCAAAGTCCCACCAATAGGTACTAGAAAGAATCAGAGGATTCGTTGGATCTCTGAGAATCCCGTTTACCCTCTACTCCCTAAAATGCAATACCCGAAGCCTGGATGGGCCTTACTACCTAACTCTACCCCTTTCCTCCTCTTTCTACTTCTCTCAACAATATTTAAACTGTGTATTTCCATGCTGATTCTGACATGACCCAAATCCCACTGGCAGAGATGAGGAGAGGTGTGAAGGGAAAGAGACAGCTTGCCTGCATACATATGAAGTGAGGGGCAATCTGCTATTTTTGGCCCAATTCACCCACCTTGATGACACTTGGGATAGGAGAAGACGATGTATACGGTTCAGTGGGAGATGTTGCAAGGCTAGTGCTAGTGGTTGAAAGGTCTGAAACATTTCCAGGAGACAGGCTAGATTTTAAGGTTGTCTCTGGAGTTGAAATGTTGGCTGGGGTGGTGAACACTGTGGTGATTACGGAGGTCTGTGACTGGACAGAAGAGTTTGTGGTTCCATAAACTGAGGTGATCCCAGAGGTAGACGTGAATTTGACTGTAGTTTCTGGAAGAGAACAAAACATGGGTGTGTATGTGTGCACGTGCTCATACATATACACAATCTAAGTTCATGATGTGGGCATGCATTTCAACACAGAAAAGGGAGTTTGGGGAGTTAACAGTTACATCGTGTCCCATCCCTGACCAAACTCATTTCAAGCTGTTGGAACCACAGCTAGAATCCAGAATGTATTAGAGGTGCCCTGAAACTGAAATAGATGCTGGTCTACCTTAGAGAAGCCAAAGACCCCCAGTTGGGACCTGTACTCACCTTCTTTCCTTTAGAAGAGATCGGAGGTCTCTATGGAGTCATCTGATCCTGATTTTATCACTAAGCTGAACTCAGCATGAGAGAAGGGGTATGGAGGCATTACTGATCGGGATCAGCTCCCAAGACATGGGCCTGAGAAAACTGTCACTGAAGGAAGAATTATCTAGAATTTACTTCAGGGTGCCCTACGCATGATACTCAAGCCATTAGTACTAGGGACTTGTATAATTTCCTCTGTGGTGTAGGGGAGCAGTCTGAAAATATCCTAAATGCTTTACCCAAGCATCACCAGCACCTCTCAGGGATCTGACACAAATGCTCTTTTTACCTGTGATGTTTGTTGTGGCCTCACTGCCATGTTGAGACACAGGGTGTGGGCTGATACTTCCAAGGGTACTAGATATTGCAGTTTCTTGGTACGATACATTTGTAGAAACAGTTGAAAATGTTTCCTGGGTAGATGACTTTGGGGTAACAGTACTGGTGTTGTTGGCATTTGTGAACCCAGAGGCTATAGGAAAACGAGGAAGAAGAATCAGAACCTAAAAGTATCAGCCTTGTGATATTACCTGATGCAATTTCCTGACTTCAGGCAGAATCCGTCTAGAACATTCCCTGCTGTCCCTGACAATGGGGCAGCAACAAGAACATACTCCTGGACAGTGGACTAATTCCCCACTACCAGATTTGCCCTCAGGACATAGGGAAGGAAAGATTTATATGCATAAAAATGTCTCATACAGTATTATTTATAGGAGGGAAACGTGAGTAACTAAATGAATTACAATAGGATAAGTGATATATGCACTTAATGTACCACAATCATTACATAATCATATAAACAATCATTAGAAAGAAAAAATTATAAAAACTGTAGCAACGTGGAAATATGAGGTGGTATTCATAGTATGTTTAGTTACATACTAAAGTATAAAATTACACCTGCATAAATATTGCGAAGATCTAAAGTGTGCAAGAGGTCATGCTTCTTTTTCCTTTTCACTGTATCCTCTTTTTTGGTCACTCTCCATCCGGTATACTAATTCTCGGAATAATCACTAGACTCACACTGTCTCTACGTGATCCCCTTAAAAATCTATCCTTCTCAGGCTTCCCCATTCCCAAACTCCCCTCATCCTTTTGCTCATGGTATTCAAACCCATTTGCCTTTCCTTTTCTTGAGGAATTCAGCTTTTAGGATGCTCTGACCTAGGAATTCAGCTAATGAACCAGGGAACACAAGGTCTGGTTTCGCATCAATGTAGTGGAAAGGTAGACAAGCTTCGTTCTGGCTCTGCCAATAACTAACCATGTAATTTAGTGCATGCAAGTATCTCAGCTCTCTTACCTCTTAAGTAAGGGGCTTTTCTGGCTACCTTACATGGATTGTTGGGAGAATCAATGAGATACCAAATGCTAAGTTATTATAGTATTATAGTATAATGTTTTGGATCTCATTTTTCTCTGAAGATCTTCATGAGTGTTCTTGCACATGTCTTCCATATATCTTGGGATACATCCTTTTTTTTAAAAAAAAAGAAAAAAAAAAAGACAGGGTCTTGCTCTGTCACCACTGCACCCAGGCTGGAATGCAGTGGTGAGATCACAGTTCACTGTAACGTTAAGCTCCTGGGCTCAAGTGATCCTCCTGCCTTGGCCTCCCAAAGCTCTGGGATTACAGATGTGACTCACCATTCCCAGTCAGTATCATTAGACACAGGAAGGAGAAGTTTCTTGCCTGAACCCTATGCTTCAAAGAGCCCACACTCTGTCCTGCTTCCTGTGAGGACCAATCAGGATGTCCCCTCTCTTCTAGATCATACTGTGGGAACCAGAAGTCCTAGCATTTCTTGCTCAAATGGCACTTTGCTGACATCCACGTTGGTCCTCTTCTCCCAGTCCATCCTGCTAAGGTGAACTGCAGCACAAGGGTGTGTACCTCCAAGGCCCAGTGGTGGCCAAATGATGACTGCTTGCAGGGAGAAGAGTTAGTGCTTAGTGCTTAAGCCTGTGGGTGGGGTGTCCCAGACACACATGCAATTGCCCTGCAATTTGAGCCAGAGTCACGAGTAGAAAGAAGAGAAGGGAAGTGGGCTGGGGTCAGGAGCCATCTTTTCCTGCTCAACTGCATTGTGGCACTGAATTCCAAGAATCTGAGCATCCCAAATTCAAACCTGGCCTTCCAAGTGGTCATGAAGATATGTTTGTCAAGGGAATAGGATAGAAGATATTTTATCACTTAGTTGGCCTGACTTACAACCTTGAAATGTTTAGAAATACAGTATGTAGGCCTCTGTTGTACTCTTGCCTTGGGCCTTGTAAATGTTAAGGGTGAACTTGTTATCCGGAGTTCACAAAGGCAGTTCCATCTTCAAGGAAAAGCCCTGGAGGGTCCCAGGCCACCCTAAAGCTTGTCTCTAAATTTTCCTGATTGGGATCTAGATCTGTACTTTTTAGCAATTTCCAGGTAAACAGCAAGGTAGAATGACATCTGTTGTTTCCCTTAAGATCAAGAGGGAAGTTAGACTTTTGGCTTCACAGCCATCAACCTGGGGCCAAGAATGCTTTTCCTAAAGGTGATGACAAGGGTTTCACTCTTTCATATCTGCTTCCTTCCACAACCTGCTGCAAGTAGATTGCTATTAATGGTGAGGGCGGCAATCATGTCTTACTATTATGTGCCAGGTAAGCAGTAGGAAGAAGGAATATCACTATCTCTGTCTTAGAGATGAAGAGCCTGAATGACCAAGGTATCTCCCAAAGGGAAGGCCATAGTTCATGAAGGGAAGCATCAATGGAACACTGAGGTTTAGCTAACTCTTGAGTAGATGCAGCAAGGAGGTTAGGCTGGGTCTAAACTGTCAAAAAATCACAATTCTTCCCCCACATCTCTGGAGAGAAAAGGATGAGCTCCCATCTGGCTTAAACAGGAGGTGGGTTGATCAAAATAAAATTGATTCAGAAGCCAATCCAGGTTTCTTTCCTGTTTAGATGGGACCCTCCCACCACTCTGACTTTAAGGTCAGATTCATCTGAATTCATCCAAGGGGGCAATATTCAGACACTGAATTAAAGGATTACCCTCTCAAGGCACCATTCCAAGACTCCTCTTCTTGCCTGCTCTCTCCCTCTTCTCCCCCAGCATACTGATTCCTAGGAACCCCATCTGGTCCTCCCTGGCCCAGACCTTTTCTCTCTCCAGAGGAAGCTGGACCTGACTCAGATGATGTCATGCTCTTGAACCCCCTCCCCCGAAGGGCCTCCTTCACCCAGACAAACACTTTTGAACTTTTCCAGATGTGGAGCAAGACCTGCTGCTAGTTCTGAGGACAGAGGTGCCTGTTCCAGAAGAGCAAAGCAACTCTGGACCCAAGCCAGCTACTGATCCACTGAGGCTGGGCTCCCAGCTGCAGCAGCCCCTCCACCCAAAACCAGGCCGAGCACTGTGGAATGAGTAGCGGGATCCACCTGCAAGTGAGAAAGGGACCCCAACTTCAGAGTCAGGGCTCTGAGCCCAGGGTGAGCAGAGCACCCTCTGAGACACCAGGGGGACAGGACAAGTGGGAGAGCAGAAAGTCAAAACGGAGTGATTGGAAATGCCTGAGCTGGTGCAGAGCAAGGGGACACCTTAGCCAGGGGCCTGGAGCCAATCCTGGCATAAACACTGCAGCACAGCAGGGTGAGTACATCCTTTAGGTTTACAGTCTCTAGAGCCCTGGAGGAACGACATTTATGAGAGTCAAGACTGACCACAGATCTCTTTTTATCCTCTCTTCCCACACACATCCATGGCATTAAACCATCAAACATTGACCTTTCTTTATCTGACCTTCTGACTTTCAACACTGTAGGGGAATAGCAGGAGTCTACCAGTCAGTGAGAGCTTGTCAGATCCTAAGAGACAATTGATGAAACCTCCACTCCTTTTCATTCTAGATGGAAGGAACAGCCCCTGTCCACAAGCTTATGAGAATTATAGTACAATTTAAAGTTGAATAAAAAGCTCTCCTCTGTTGTTTACTTCTCAGTCCATCCTGATTAACTGTGTCTCCCTAGGGACTCCATTTGACCCTTAGTTACCCTATTTGATCTCAACTCGTGAACCTGGAGCAAGGGAGGAGACAAGGTCTCAAAAAATTAGTAAAATGAGGATTCTAAGAAGCCAAATAGATGTCACAAAATTCATGTAGTAAAAGTCATGCACTGAACTTTCAGGTACTTCTTCAGAGGCAATTACTCTTGTTTTACACATAATTATAATAACCCTGGTTATCTGATATCCTAGCTAAAGTTGGAACGTAGGAAGAGCCTATTAGAAGCAAATAATAAGGAGAAGCAACAGCTGAAAACTAAGAAACAGAAATAAGTGAAAAGCAGACATGAGTATGAAAACTCACACCAGTTTTCCAGAATCATTTATGGTAGGAGTGAATAGGTTAGATATCTATACCTTAATAAGCATTAATGATGTCACTGAATTGCAACATAACCATGACATTTTCATGATACATCTGAGTCATATAGTCCTTTTCGGGGGGTATTCTAAGAAAGAAAAGGCATGTGCAATACATTTTGAAAATATTTCTACCTGCCACTTGTAAATTGAAGATTCTTTTGTTGTTTAAAGTGAGTTTGCAAATCCTCAGCGATCCAGAAAGCTCTGCTACCTAAATAACTAAATCCCCATACTTTAAGAGATTGAATTTTCCTATAGTTGGTCTTGCTTTTCACAGTCCTCCTTAGTTTTTTCCTGGTGCTGTTTCCTGATCTCCTAGCCTGCCAGTCTTATTTTGCCCATGCTTTCATATTCTAGCACCTGGATCAAGAGGAGTATCTTGAAGGAATTCCTGGGAATCTTAGTCCATAGAGTTACAGAACCAGGATGAAGGGACATGCCAGCCTCTGCTAGGAAGTAGGCCATTGGGAGCCACAGAGTGTATTGCCAGGAAGGCAGTATAGCCCAGAGACAAAGAGCTCAGGCTCTGCAGCCAGACAGGTCACATTGAAAGGCTTCTTTACCTTGTTTTAGCTGTGGTTTGGGAAGTTACTTCAACTCTGTAAACCTCACTTGTAAAACAGAGATAAAAGTAGTCCCCATGTCTTAGCTGTTTTGAGGAACAAAGGAGCTAAGAAGTGGAAGCAGTTATCCTGTCCGGTAAAAGCTCAAGAAATAGTGGATATCTTTCGTTTCAGGCCCCTTCCTTCTGCTTCTCAGAGGGCATGAGATACTTATTTCTGTGACTAATCTGCCACAAAATCATATATGCTGCTTCCTCAGAATAGGTCTAACTATCACCTCAGTCAGAATATAAATTTCTAAAGTGCTGGAACCATTCTTATTCTTACGTGTTTTACTCTTGGTGCTTAGCACAATCCTTGGAGTTTAGGAAAAGCAATAGGATTGAAGGACAACTGTGGCAGGTGTGTTCCTACCAGCTACCTCTAGCCACAGCAGTCTTGTTCTCATGTTATATTTTAAGGAGGAATTAATTAAACTGGCGGCTGTTCATG